TGTGGCTGCTTGGATGGTTTTTTCCAGTGCCTGGAAACGGTCGTGCAATTGGACGTCGAGAAGCGAACTTCCGCATGCGACGGAACGTGCTCCGTTTAGGGCCGTTCGTTTTCGCGAAGTACCAACCGACTTGAGATGGTGCCTGGAATCGACAGGACAGCCAAAGCCAGCTTTCCGGCTTGGTCGTATGTCGAGTGATTCGCAATCGAAGTGCTGACGAAAAGTCGCACGCCCCTGAACCATCATGTCGTGGAGTTAGTTTGATGAAACGAGTACTGATCCTTTGCACCGGCAACTCGTGCCGCTCGCAAATGGCCGAAGGCCTTTGGAACGAATTGGGCAAAGGAGAGTGGGATGCCTACTCGGCAGGTTCACGCCCCTCAGGCTATGTTCATCCCTTGGCGATCCGAGCGATGAAAGAAATCGGTTTGGATATCGCAGGCTACGAAAGCAAGCAGGCCGCTGACTTTCAGCACCAGCCATTCGACTTGGTGATCACCGTGTGCGATAACGCCAAGGAAGATTGCCCCATTTATCCGGAAGCCAAAGAAACACTGCACTGGCCGTTTGAAGACCCGGCCGATGCGACCGGTTCGGACGACGAGAAGATGGTGACGTTCCGCCGAATCCGTGACGAAATCAAGGATCGAATCGCAGAACATTTAGGAGTAAGCAATGCAATCGGCAGCTGAATTTCCCGGTAACTTTCGCCTTCATGTCGCATTGAACGTGACCGACTTGGAAGCCTCGCAGGCGTTTTACGAAATGCTGCTGGGGACTAAACCGAGCAAGACACGTCCACGCTACGCGAAGTTCGAACCCGTCGATCCATCGGTTAATCTTTCGTTGAATCAGATCGACGAAGAGTTCCAAGTCGAACAAGGCTCGGCCCATTTCGGTATTCAAGTCAAATCGGTTGCTGAAGTGCATGCCGCTGCCGATCGCTTCAAAGCGGCGGGAGCCAAAGTCATGCATGAAGAAGCAACGACGTGCTGCTACGCCGTGCAAGATAAAGTCTGGGTCGCCGATCCAGATGGGCACAAGTGGGAGATCTTCGTCGTGTTGGATGCCGATGCCAAAGACGAACTATATCAACAGTCGGGCTGCTGCAGCCCGAGTTTGACGCAGTTGGAAATGTAGTCTCGAAGTGACCATGCCCAAATAAGAAGCCGCCGCGCAAGTTCGACTTGTGCGGCGGCTTTTTTAATGTCTATTCCGCTTTCCCCTTGACCAGGAAACGGTAGATCGCCAGGACGAGCATCGAACCAAGGATGGCGACCATAAAGCTGTACAAGTTAAATCCGGTGACCGTACCGTATCCCATTCCGGTCGCAATAAAACCACCCAGCATGGCACCGACGATACCAATGATAATGGTCACGATGCAGCCACCTGGGTCGTCTCCGGGGAACAGAAGTTTAGCGAGTGCCCCAGCAATCAGGCCGAAAATGATCCATGCGAGAATACCCATGGGAATCTTTGCTCCTTAGGTGAAATGTTGTTGTTGGTGACACCATGAAGAGCAGATCGTGTGCCAAACAGAGAGGCTCGTTCTCATCGAAACTTAACGTTCCCTCGGATTGAGCAATCGTGGCCGGACGATTTCAATAGAGACACTCAAGCGACTGATCCTTCACCCCGGCCCCACGGCAAGGCTGTGCTGCAAATTTATATCCCCTTCTATCGGGATCGAGAGAAACTGGAACGTGCCATTGAAAGCGTTCAGCGGCAAACTTCGTCCGACGTACAGCTGACGGTGCTGGACGATGCCAGCGAGACGTTTGCGGATGGGGCAAACGATTTCTGTGAGCAGTACCCCGACATTCGCTATTCCCGAAATCCCCAGAACCTGGGAATGGTCGGCAATTGGAATCGTTCGTTTGAAGATGACAGCCCGATGCTTTCGATCTTGCATGCCGACGACGAACTGTTGCCTGACTACGCCGAAGCGATGCAAGACGCTGCGGCCAAGTACCCCGAAGCGTCGCTCCTTTTCTGTTGGGCGAAGATCATCGACGACAAGGGGCGGGAGCTATTCTCCTTTCCAGACTACGTCAAGCGATTCCTTTACTCGCAAAAGGGAGACGTGACGCTGGCAGGGGAAGAAGCGGTTGCCAGCTTGCTGCGTGGTAACTACATCTTTTGCCCAACGGTGGCATTTCAAGTTGAAAACCTCAACGGGATACGCTTCGATCCACGCTGGCGATTCGTGCAAGACTTGGACTTCGTGTTGCGCGTTCTCGAAGCAGGACAGAAAGTCGTTGGGCTAGAGAAAACGTGTTACGCCTATCGACGACATGCTAACAACGCGACCGCCGAGTATACGGTAAGCAATCTTCGATTCCGTGAAGAAACACAGCTCT